GGGGAGTGTGCAGTGCGTGTGCGTGAGAGCGCCTTCACGTGACATGTGCCATAAATCACACACCACAGTGTCCTTGCAGCGCTAACACATATCATAGAAATCAATGCAGAGGTCAAGTTGAACAGGGCGAGCCAGAGGCTGAAAACAGCACAGCAGCCAATAAAGATGACCTGCCAGCACACAAGTCAGATAAACAGCTCCCGATAAAATAACACACACACACACACACACACACACACACACACACACGAAAAGGACAAAAATATAATAGTAATAAAAATATAATACTCCTATTAATAATAAAAGAAATCATATTAACGTGTTGTTTTTTTTTTCCAGGTGGTGCTTGTGCTTCAAAAACTGCTATTTTATTGTCTCTATTTCATTCTTATTCATATATATATATATATATATATATATTTTTTTTTTCATCTTATTTAGAGGCTGTGGGTTCAAATCCGGCCCCAGCCTTCCTGTGTGGAGTCTGCAAACCTGCGTGGGTTTTCTCCTGGTGCTCTGGTTTCCTCCCACATTACCAAAACATGCATGGCAGCTTAATAGAACGCTTAAAATTGTCCGTCGGTGTGACTGTGAATATGAATATGAATGGTTATGCCCTGCGATTGGCTAGTAACCAGTGGAGGGTCGACCCCGCCTACTGCCCGACGTCAGCTAGGATAGGCTCCAGCATAGTCCGCAGCCCTCGTCAGGATAAGCGGCTCCAACTTTTTATTTGATATTCGAAACTATAATTCTGCACCATTTTCTCCACCCCACATGAAGAGAAAAAAAATCCTGGATCATCCCCTGCTATTTGTAGTCCCTTGGCACATTTTAAGTAAACTTGTATGCTGTTTACTTAGCAACAACAGAATTATCTTTGCCAATGTTTAACAATCTTTGCAATGTCCCAAGGAAAATAGGAGGTACAAAAACAAGTTCTGCAAGTAGAATGAATATAAAATTTGTATGCTTCAACTAAAAATCTAATTCTGCTTGTTTGTAACAATGTGGCTGCTTTCAAAACATGGAAGAGGAAAATAAAATACAACTAAATACTTTAGTTACAACCTTTTCAAAAGAATTTAACTTGTGGATTTGGGAGCCATATTTCCTGCATGGCAGGATGAAGTCAAGTGGGATGCTGAAAGGAATATTAAAAGGAAATTGGGACTGGTCTTGATTATCAGACTCACACAAAGAGCACACAAGTATAGCAGAGCAGCTTTCTGTGCAACTACAGAAGTTATTATAACAGTTGCAGTGCCAAAATCTCTTAGTAGCAGTCAAAATTTATTTGTGATGGCCGTACACAGGTAAACGAGTATGTGGGAAATACTGCAGCTGTACGGTTTTTACTGTGGAGCCGATCAATGATGTTATGGATTGATTGGTGAATTAAAGACATTACAGCCGATCAAAAAATGTGCTAGATTGAATAAATGCTCAAACAGCTTATCTGAAAGCCTAGGAAGCAGGCGTTCTGTGGATGTTTCATAGTGAGATTTCACACACACACACACACACACACACACACACACACACACACACACACACACACACACACACACACACACACACACAAAAAGACAAAGCTTGGCATAATCACAGCGCTTCAATCATTTATGACAGGGGATGTATAATTCAAAATGCAGCATGAAAGATTCACAAGGTGCAGTACATTGTTTAATATACTGCCCCACCTCCCCTTCTTTACACAAACACACCCACCCACCCCACACACCCACACACTCCTGCATCTTACTTGACCCAACAGCAGGGCGCTTAATCATCGCACACAACTTAAAGGGGGCCTGAGGTAAAAGGGAATCTTGTCGTAAAGGTCCTCTTTCGGTAATCTCTCTCGCAACAATTCTTTTTTATTACCCCAGTTTCCACTCCTTCCTTCTCGCCTTGTCGTGAGGATTGTTCTCACCTTGCTTTCACTTTTCAGGCCCGCTGTGTTTGTGTGAGCACCTCTCATGATCCACATTCAGAGGTGGATAAAACACTCAGAGTACAGATAGAAGTACAGATACACCAGTGCGTTAAGAGTGATCCGACATACACGTTTATCGAGATGCGAGCTGTCATTCGGCCAATTTTTTGCTTTAACTTGCAATTGCAAATTCAGTTTAACTCACTTCACAATAACCAGCTATTTAAACATAACAAAGACGTGTATTTAAAACAACATGGCTAATGAAGAAGCCCGCTTGGATTCATGCTAACAAACAATGCAAAACGCCATTTACATGCTCACAGTTAGCACCGATACCTGCGGTTTTCAAAGCAATGAATATTTGAATACAAACGGTGGAGCAACACAAGTAGATAATAGATTATAACAATACTCATATGAATACATTCCCTATCCTCAACTAAAATGACAAATATTACGTAGTAGCAAGAGAAGAAGTTGATTCTTCTTTTTTGGTGTCTACACAGTATACTACACACACAGTGTTATGGGTTACACAGGATTATCAAACGAATTAAACTTTTATATAAAGATACCATTGCAAAACTACTTGTGTAAAAGTAGAAGCACTGCCCAAAAACATACAGTATACTGCATTTTTTTAAAAACAGTTCCTATGTGTCTTAACACAAAGATTTATGAGGGCAGTGTGGGGGGGGGGGACAAAATTCTCACTTCCAAGTTTCTGAAATAAAAGGCTTAACGTGCTTGCTTTAGGCTGTTCATGTCATTTTTAGTTGATAGTGTAGTTTACTCTATAACTAACACAGAATTCAACATTGTCGATATACAGAGCAAAATGTTCCACCATATCATACTGTACAATCAAACAAGTGAGCTATCTTAATGCTAATATCATGTGAAACACCATAGATGGGCTAACAGAAACCAGCATAGATGTCTCATTAACTACAAACCTTCAAATAACTGCTCCTTTAACAAACATGGAGCAGCAATGCACATAAACAGAGACTGCAACAATACTCACAGTCCTTATAACTTAATGAATCAAATGCATTATGCCAGACAATGCATTATGGGAACCGAAAAGGATTTTTTTTTTTAACAATATATTTACAGCTGACCCCCGCTCTTCACGGGGAATAGGGAGGGACCAGGCCAATGTGCGAAGAGCAAAAATCCAAGTATAACTGGCGGCCATTGGAATGCATTAGGGGGGGAAAAATCTGCATTTATTATATATATATATATATATATATATAGTTAATTAATCACCTGATGAACGGTAATCTGTATTTTTTTCGGTCAAAAAAATAATAATTTGCATCGGTTTTAAAAAAAAAAAAAAAAATCCATATCGGTTGGACCCAACTGTACTTGATTTACACCACACTATGCCATTGATAGCCCCCATTAAATTTGGATAATTCTTAATTTCCCAGTGAATAATGCATGAATCTTAACGACCAAAACCTGACATACTGTATAGCGGAGGTCCATGAAGGCGTTCTACAATGTGTCATTCCCGTTCCAGACTCTGGCATTTTCCTATTCATGAGCAACTGAGTCCCAAAAAAACGATTCATTTTAATTCAACAGAGTGGCTCCTACATGCATGCCTATTACAGCACTTTAACTTCATTTTTACAGCCAATCAATGTGGCATGGCTTTATGGGAAGCTGTTTGAACATTGAGACAATATCCTGAATATCCAGATTAAGCTTCAGGTACTAGTATGCTCTTCGTCCGCAATAGAAGAAAGACTAGTATGCACAAGTCGAACAACTGTTTTAAGTAACATTTTCCCATTACTGCCTTCTACTACTGGATGACATATTTTACAGACTAGTAGGACAACTATGGCTTACTCGTGAGGGAAAGCTACCCACTACTTGACATCTGCCCACTTGTAGTACTACTAGTGAAGCACTAGATATTAAGTACAATTCTACTAACAATAAATAAACAAATAATAACACTAGAAATAACTAATAACACGAGTAGCATGCAACTAGTGTACAGTTCTGACTTACTAGTAACATGTAGCTGTTAAACAAGCATGCCAAAGTTGTATTACTAGTGAAGGGAAAAACGCCAACGACATGGACCTTAAGCTGGATATCAAATCAATTCTGAAATTCTGGAAAGCCCTTTGACCATTTATTTTATTTTATATGCATCTTAATGTCCATGATCCCGCTATTTGTGAAGGGATAGGAACCAGGCCACCCGCGAAGAGCGAAAACAACTGACGTCCACTGAAATGCATTGGCGGGGAAATGGGGGAGGGAGGAATTTACAATTTTAAACCGCATAAAATGTTTAAAAAACACGCTGCAAAACATTCATGATGCGTTGTCCATGAAAAAGAGAGTGGGAAAACGTTGGGGGTGAGTGTGAGAGAGATTTAAAAAAAAAAAAAAATATATATATATATATATATATATATATTCCGATCTGCCAATATGCGTATGCTGAACTGCAGGTGCCAAAACGCGAGTAAGAAAATTCACTCGTAGAATGACTGTGTTTTACCGGTAATAAATTTTCCACTATTGTATGACATTTCTGCATACATTTAAATAACTTCAGTTTATGAGTAAGGCAAAAGCATTTGAGCATTTTTGCACTTATGGTAGAGTACTGGAGGCTACTAGTGCATGACATACGCCTACTAGTTAGGCCTAGTAATGTTGTTAGTGTAGCACACTAGTTTACTAGTAAAGTTGAACGGCATTTTTGTGGGCCACAAGAAGCATCAGTACTGAAAAATAAAAAACACCACTAGAAAGTCAGCCATTCTTCAAGTGCACTGAACTTATCAATAAATGCTCAAAAGTATGTTACCACTAATACTAATAGTGACATTATAAAATCTTAAGTCAAATAAAGCACAGTTGTCCCGCCACACTTGTCCTAAATTGTCTTACTACCATGCAGACATGTCAGTGGAAAAACATTAGAAGACGTAATCATTCTACTAGTGCGTCCTATTCATTCTACTAGAGTGCTGAATACCAAAAACGCCAGAAGAAGAAGAAGAAGAACTCGACGTACCTGGGAGGCAGAAGTGTGGTGCCTTTAATCCGAACATGCCTCCGCTCTGACTAGAAGTGGGGGTCAGGTTAAAGAGCTCGTCGTTGGCAGTTAGTCATCCGCCACTGCCCCCCGTCCTCCTCTCGCTCGTGGGGTCCTGTTGGGGTGGTGAGAGGTCAGCCTCTGTCTACTCCCCTTTTACGCTGGTAGACTGAACCTGCGCAGACCCCAAAAAAGGTGGAGAACAATTGATTGGACTCCAGGTGGAGACTAGCGGCTGTGTTATCATTCCTCCCTTTCGCTGTCTGTGAGCAAACGAGAATGGATAGAGAGAAAAAGAAAGTGGCGAAGCTTCTGCCAGGCTTGCTCCTTCCTCTCCTTTTTTTCAGTCTTTGTAATCCCTTCCTTGCTACTATTCATTGAACCGCTTCTTGCTCATCCCGCTTTTTCCCCCCACTCCTGTTTCCCTTATTTTCTGAATCTATTCTGGCTTTATCCTCCTTCCTTTTGCCTCCTCGGACCCACTAGTGACTGCTTAGCTCAGCGGGCATCCAAGAGGAGGAGGAGGAAGAAAAAAGAGAGAGAGATGGAGGGGAAAAAGAGGAGGAGAATTACAAGATAGACCAGTGAGGGAGAGATGAATGAGTTTGTGTGAGTGTGGAAGGAGAGGAATGAAGCTGCCTGGTGTGTGCGTGTGCGCGTGTGGGCAAAAGAGGATGGGTGAGAGGAAGAGGAAGCGAGGCGAGCGAAAGAGGGTGTTGATGCACTTCTCATTATCAGTAGATTGGACTGGTGCCTGAGTGACAGCTGATTCATCATGGGGGAGAGTGTGTGTGTGTGTGTGTGTGTGTGCACACTCGGTCAGCCCAGCTCTCCCTCCCATCTTCTTCTTCTCCTCTTTCCTTTTCTTTCTCAACCTCCAGTCAGTGTACTGATGCTGCTTTGCACTGCATGGATGGGACCTGCAAAACCCACACAGACAGATTAGTGCGACAGTGAAATTAAAATGCTTTGTTACAATACTTAATTGGGTTTTTCAGGTAGCTGTGCTTTACTGATAGCGGTAGGTGGACTTAAGTGCCCCAACTCATTAGCAATTCATTGTGCGGGTGTGATAATATGATGAGTTGATTACACATTTACATCGTTTCACACTCATAACAGCCCCTTTGGTGACACAAACTATGCAACTTGCTCTGGCTCAGCTCCTGGACATCTGGATTTTGGCCTGTTTTATTGCTGCTTCTCCTCTTTCCTCAATGGGCAAAGTGAGGAGGATTCTAAATCGACTGAATGGGACAAGATCCGAGGAGGACTACTTCAGCAGGGGTCTACTTGAACTTCATATCATAGGATCATATCATGTATTGAATGTTTCCCCCTCGGCATCCATTGCAGCTTGGTTATCCCGGAAGTGGGAGCCTAGAATTTGTGATCTCGTCTCAAGATTACAAGTTTTTCCTTCCTTTTTCGATGGGTCATCGAGAGCAGGGGATTTTGTTGATTTTTGCTTACGTTACCCAATACTTTTGTCCACACATGTAGCAGGCCCAGTGCGTCACACAGTATATATATTTATCCACCAGTGAAAGCCAAGGTGTTATAGATAGCTCTTGAGGCTCCTCAAAATCAATCTCACTCTTTAAAAAAAGGACACAAAGAAGGCAGATAAGAGGCAGAGACGAAAATATCAAGTTGAGGAAAATGGAGGTTTGGATAGTGATGGAAAGGTTCTACGGCCAAGGGCTCAGGGCCCCTCGGAACCAACACCTTGCACTGAACCACCACCTTCGCCTTCACCTCCCCACAGAATCACCACCTCCACTATCACAGAGCAAGGAACTTTCACCTGAGATGGAAAACAGGCAGGACAGGATTGAAGACCTCTCCTGACCTTATACCATTGCCTCACACAGAGCCACCACCTCCACTTCCATCTGGCAGGGAAGTGTGAAGATCGCTTGTCAAGAAGTGTGTGTGTAAGTGTGCGTGCACATGGAGAGTACTTGCAAGCTGTACTTAACTAAATTTATAGACACTTGTGTAAAAAAATACTCTGGTAAAAGTAGAAGCAGGCCTATTGATTCAATTGCTGTACTTAAGTAAAAGTAAACAAAAAAAGTGCAAATTGTGTTTTAAACTTGCTAACCTATTTTTTTTTCATTACACAAGTACTGTATCTGTACTTCCACTTAGTACAGAGTGCAAGTGTTTTTGTTACCTCTGACAATTAAAAAAGGTTTGATAACGACAACAGCGTGTTTAAAAGACTTCCTTTGAGAATGATTTGCGTTATTTTCTTCTGTGTTAATTTCCTGTGTAGGTTTTTTTATAGCCATGAGTCCTAATACTTTTGTCCTGATGGTAGTACATAATTTGATAAGCAGTTGTGGGAGCAGTTACGACACGTTAGCCAACCACAAACTGACAACGGCGGCCCAGTGTGGAGGGAAGATAAAGCAAAGGAGGAAACGGTAAAGAGGATGAAGCGTTGGCACAGAGGAGGCAGAAGTACTTACCTCTGTACTTGAGTAGATATAGACTTGTGTTAAAAAGAAAATAAAAAAACAATCAAAGTAGAAATAAGGATTCAACTCCTTATTTAGAAAGAAAGAGCAGAATGAAAATGTACTGAAAGGAGAAAATATTTTTTCAATATCTTCTATCCATGGCTTTCTTTGCTTTGTGTGGCCAGACCAAATTTGATTGACAAGCGATCTTCAAACCACGCCATTGCTTGAGTGAAGTGACCCTCAAAAATGTCGCAGTTAAGGTATGGTAATGCCCTCGCAAGTGGGCAAAGAGAGCCACAGTCACCCATGCACTTGCCCTTGAATGAACGGAACAATTAGTTAAATGCACAAATACAATATGAGAACACTCACTTTTTTGAGGGGGCTGGAACAGATTGTCATTTCAATTGGGATTTTTTTTTTTGTTGTTTTTGCCATGAGACAGAAGTAACTTGAATTATGAGATACCACAAAATGTTGTGTAGCTGATTTTTTTGTATATTTTAACTCACAAGCACGAACTCGACTCAATTTGATCCACAACAAGCAGACCTTTGGCAAATACTGAACAATGTTTCAAGAATTACAAAGTTTAGCTTTTCAGTCTACTAGCTTAATGCTTACACTAAATAGCATCAATGATGGTGTCTGATAATCATATAGGCAACTGACTGAACACTAATGCAGCAACACATGTAGACAGACACTGTAGCAGTTCTCATATTTATATATTTATTCTCAGTGAAGAACGACTAATATAGGTGTCATACTGATGAGCTGAGAGATGGGTTAAGAGCTCTCAATTATAGTATATCCATCTCATTGATGAAATGTAGATTTCTTCCTTTTCTTTGGTATTGGAAATGATCAATATACATTATTGCACAACAAGGGGTAGGACTAGATAAGTTGTATACTTCTTCCTACTCCTTTGAACATATAACTGTGATGATGTTTGTATTACTTACCTTTATTTTCCTTTCATAATTTTTTTTTGCATTTTGTCATCTGTTATTGTATGTTTTATATATGTTCAATAAACAAACAAACAAACAAACAAACAAACAAACAAACAAACAAACATTGTCTTATGCTTCACCCAGGTGGCCAAGGTGGACACACTAGAAAGTGCAGCACAATGGTCATTCAACTGATGCAGCGTGACAAAAAAATGTTCAATAGTTTTGAATTCTATTGAATTAAAACATTACTGTATGTTTTTATAAAGTACAGGTTTGACGCTTTTCCTTATTAAAATACACATTTTTTGAGGGGAAGGATGGATTGTATTATTGGCATTTCAATGGGAATAGATGATTTGAGAGATAAGTGTTTTGATTTGCTGAGACTGGCTGGCGACCATTTCTGGGTGTAGTTTTCCTTCAGCCCAAAGTCAGCTGGGACAGGCTAGAGCAACTCCCCGCGACCCTCTTCAGGATAAGCGGTGTTGAAAATGGATGGATGATGGATGGCGTTTTGATTTGCGAGCTTGGTGACGGACTAAATGTCAAGTTGCCGCACTGCGCTTTCTAGAGACCTCTGAACTCCAGTGTGTGGGTCACGCTCTGCTGCAGCGAGGTCAAAAGAGGAACAGGAGGAACAGGAGGCGCAACGGCGCAATGTGCGATGATTATGGACAACAGCCAATAATGAGCCAGCACCCCTGACCCCATCGCTGTGGAAACAACAGGGAAGGCCTGTCACCGAGGGAGTTGTATAAGTCAATCTATCCCGAGCATGAGGAGGGGGAGAAGAGAGCCTCATGATGAGGTCAATAAAACCTTTAAATCATTTCTCCCCTTCAAGGGGGAGCTTTTCTCCCGCCTTCAAAACAGACGCCGTCACAGACTTGTGAAGCCGTCTTCCCCCCCCCCCCCGCTCCTCCTCCCCCTCACTTCCTTGGCTCTCTATCACTAGCCTGTCAGATGCACGCTGTGGCAGAATAAGAAACGACACCCCGGTCCCTGCAGTAACCAGGGCTGCCATCAGCACTTAAACATTTCTACCGCCCCTGCCACCACCCTCCCTACTATTTCCTTTCTGTCGCTCGCCAACCGCTGACAGGCGACCACAGAGCGATGACAAACACAAGCAGCCAAATGATGAAGAAAAGACAAAGCCCTGCATCCTCCTCTACTTTCCCCCTTTATGTATTTGCTACCCCCACACACACTCGTTGAAGCCCGTTGGCCCCCCGAGTTAGCGAGCGAACATCATTACCTCGGCAGTCACTCTTGTGCCATTGGTGTATCCCTGTTAGTAAATATATTTGTCATTCCCAATGTCAGCGCAGCAGACATTAAAAGAGGCGGCGCACAGTAAGGAAAGAAGATTAAAAGATGCAGGGGGAGGAGAAAGGAACGGAGGGAGAGAGATTGGGAAAGGCGGGGGTGGGGAGGTAGTGATACTGCATTATATCAAAAATAATTGTCAGAAGAGGTCATTATGCATATATTTTATAGAAACACCAATCTTTCTCATCATCCTCCCGTCTCCTGCATAGCGAGACATTTAATTAGACACTGATGGGTTCAGAAAAACGGGAGGTGAAAAAGTAGGTAAAAACCAACGTGAAAGTGGATACACAACAGTGTTACACTCACGTCAAAACATGGGGCAGAAATGCCGTCACAGACACATAACACCCTTAACAATTTTACTTATGGAGGTTTGGATGGCCGTGATGTCTTATTGTTGCTCATGTGTGCACACGTTTAAATGAAGGCAGGACGTAAACAAAAAAAGAATGAAACACTGACTCAATCTAGCAAGTGGTCCTTAGTCTAGTGGTATTGTATATGGTTGTTAGTAATATATTATTGATATTGTATATCAGCGCTGGGATGACATGCACCGTCACACTGTACATCTTCCTGCTCCTTTTCCAACATGAACATTGCAGATGTAGCTTGCGGTGTGCTTCTCTTGTCCTTTTCAAAGCTTTAGACGGATTGATGGGTGGGTTTTGAGATGACGGATGCTGGACGGAGGGATAGATGGACCAATGCACGGATTGGTGATAGTTTAAGATATGAGGGCAGACAGACAGATCCATGGGTGGATGAATCAACAGATAGGACAGATGGCTGGATAAAATGATTTTCTTTGTCATCTCAATTCCTGAAAATAACTTTCAAAGACACAATGGTCCATCCATTCATTCGATAGCATTCGTTCTCTGAAAGATCAGAGGGAAGCTAACCCCCTGCC